AGGCCAAAATGGAGCTGGGATATCCCACCCTACCCTGAGAGTCCACGTCTACATGAAGACAAACTCTCCATGCAAAGATAGGGAGCAAATACATTAGCAGGGTTGCCGTGTTTTTAGTTTTGGAGTCCCCAGGTAAATTGGCAGCCCTGTCAATGTATTAGCTCCCTATCTTTGCATGGAGAGTTGGTCTTGATCTAGACTTGGACTCTCAGGGTAGGGTGGGATATTCCCTCCATTTTGGCCTCAACTTGAGTGCTTTTTTTTGAGCTTGGGAGATGATTTCAGAGAAAACCAGTGGCACCATCGTGTTTCTTGTGACCTTTTACACAAGATTCAACAGTCAAATTGCAAATTCCTCGCACATGCAACATCTCCATTGGGCCAAAATGCACCGATATCAATACTTCATATGTTACTTGGTTCTTTCTCTTACTAATGATTACTATATGTATTCTTCTATCTCTATCTCTGTTTGAACCATTAAAAGTGGGGAAAGAAAAATTGACCCCTAGAACTTACAACAAGCCACTAAATAAGGTATTAATTGAAGCACCATGTCTCATGTATTATCCTTATGATAGGGCAGTTTTGAAGTGAACTTCGATGCCCCTAATAAAGCATTATTAACGATATTACAACATATTGAATGTAAAGCAACCTATTTATTGTTGGATCCAAAGTATGACTACTGAAAAACAAAGTGCAACTTTATTGATCTATGTTTCAGGAGTCGTTGGGTTCTTTGCTGTTGCAATCTATGGAATAAAAAATTATAAAAACCAGAAGATGACCAATCCAACTGCATATTTTGGATCCTTGCGAGTTATGGCACAAGGAGTGGTAGCTGGCGCCATAGCAATAGCAGCTTCTGCTGACGCTATCAAATACTTTGTTAACGAATTCAAAGGAGAAAAGAAAGATGATTCCTGAATTTGTGTGAGTGTCTAGTCTTTTTTTCAAGTTTTAAATGTGTAATTGTTATTATAAATTATTGATCTTAAAGTTCAGTGAAAATGTGAACAAAACACTTTAAAATGTAAAAATTATTGATTCTATAGGCTTAATAGCTATGTATATTAATTTTTGGCCCAGAGGCACAGGGATCTATTTAGCTTGATACCATGCATCTTAAACAAGCGATGCTTGCAAAATCTTGCCTTAGATGCCTGAGCAAGCATCTAAAACAAGCTTTCAGAAATCTGTCGATTGTATCCATCTGACGTTTCTATCAATTTTTGTGTTAGATATCCCATCTTCTTGTACCCAAAAAGTACCTTGCTTATTTCATTGCATTCTTTAATTATTTTGATTTCAACTTCGAGCAAGACTAATGGTAAGAGCCCTAGTAATCATTGGTTTACTTGAAACAAAACCCACAGATATAATAACTTAAACTCTAGACCAAAGAACCAATGCAACCCAGTCAAGCATCCTTCCTTTTTCACTTGAGGCATTTTCAAGGTCAGCTTTCGTTTTTCCCTGATTTTACATCTCATATCACTATGTATTTGAAATGGCATTCTGCTCACCTGTAATAATAGACTAGTACTACAATCTCGGAGGCTATTTTCATCGTGGTGATCCTATACACTAATGCAAAAGAAGAAGTCCTAACGCTCAATTAATTTCAGGTGTTTGAATTTGTATTGGGAATGAATTTCAAAAATGGTTCAAGTAATGTCTTTTCTGTTGAGTTTCCACCTCATACTAAAATGTCAGTAGTCACAATTCTTAAACAATTTTAAGTAGGTATCATATAAAAATATTGATACCATTTTACATCCCATGCCTCTATTACATGCACACTCTGCACACTGTTCTATTGTGAAGACAAACTGGTCGTTGTGAAGGTTTCAGATTAATGTAAGTGACATGTGTCACCACTCCTGTTTCATTAAATCATGGGTGTATCAGAGATTTCAAATGACTCATCATTCTAGGTGAGAATACTTGCCTCTGCCTGTTTTTTTTTTTTACTATGTACATAAGTAGGAATTTTAAGATTGTTAGCTATGATCTAAAGGAAAATAAATGGAAACATGGAAACTCCATGAATAATCTCTGCTGATTGTCTTCCTTACCTGCCAATTTCAAGGTAATTTGCAATGGATAAGGGTGCTGTGCTGTTTGTTTTGGTAGATCCTTTTTCTAAATATAGGTGAGGCCTGATCGTTGAAATTTATTTCAGCACTACAAAACAGCGAAAATCAATATATTACACGGCTCAGATAGGGCTATGTCTTTTGTCTTCTCTTGCCAACTAGGTCCAATAATAAACAATCAGGCTACTGGAAATTCATCTTGATTGAAAGAACAAAGAAAGATGAACAACTAACTAACATAGATGTCCAAAGAGTGTTTTCAAGAGGTTGTATGCTAAACCATGTGAATGTGATGTAAATAAGTTTCCTGTAACAAATTTGTGAGGAAGATGCATTTTCACTGCCTAAAATGAGAGAGACTACTGATTACGCTATTTTTACTAAGTACAGATATTGTTATCCAGTGTACTTATCATTTATCAGGAATTGGATCTCTAAGATTACCCACCATATATGAGAAGGAAAACACTGAAGTAAGAAATCCATATGGAAAGACAGTAAAGAAAGAGATGAATTTGAGTGAATATATTGATTAATAAATTTGAGAATCAGCATTTAGTTACTTCCAAAATAATGATTAAATATTTGTTTTCTCAGACATGCATGTGTATGTTGTTTAGTTTGCTTTGCCGTGCCAGTTGAATTTAATTTTTAAAGGCCTTGGTTAATTAATAGCACTTCCTCCTTAAACATCAAAAAAATTTACAAAGGGAACATACAGTCCTGCCGCCTCCGATTCAGCTGAATTTTTTTTACAGACTCTATGGACCAATTCATTAACCTAATTTCTCCCGTTTTCCCGAATTCGCAATAGAAAGGGCATAAAAAATTTGTGAAAGTTGCGTTTTCGGCGGCTGCTTTTGTCGTACAGAGCAAGGGCTCCACTTGAGAAGTCTGTTATTACTGCTTTATTGCGCCTTTTCACTCAACAGAGACCAGAGCCCTATTGCACAGGTACTGGCTCTGTGTTCTTAAGGTCCGAGGTTTGTATCTTCGATCGGGCACTTGCATCTTATTTTCTGCATGATCACGTAATCATTTTATTTTTAATCCTACACTTTCTTTTTATTTTCCTTTTTATTTTTATGATCACGGAACATTTTAACTGCTTGGTTTTTAAATACAGATGAAGAATTAAAAATAAAATGAATACAGGATCATGCAGAAAATAAAATAAAAGTGCCCGACCTGGAATATGAACCCCCAACGTCAAGGACACAGTGCCAGTATCTGTGCAGTAAGACTTCAGTTTCCATTATGTGAACAGGTGGGATAAAGCGGTATAATAGACTGCTCAAGTGGAGCCACGCGCCGCACTACAAAATTAGCCACCGAAATCGCAACTTTAGGGAATTTTTTATGCACTTCTTATTGGGCAATCGGAAAAATGGAAGATAATGGGTTAATGAATTGGTCCATAGAGAGTAACAAAAAATTTAGCCCAATTGGAGGCGACAGGACGGTACGTTCTCCTTGTTAGCCAATAGAAGAAATTGCTTTGTACATTTGTCCACAAAAGTGAAAGGGCGCTGAAAAGTGGAATCAAGGTTGATGAAGTTGAACCAGGATCAATCAGAGATCCACTGGTGGGAGGAAAAGATTCACTCACACCTCAAAAATTCACTCCAGTTCTCTGTATTCTTTACCGTAGTCACTCAGCTGCTCAGAAACTTCTCAAGATCCTGAAATGTTTTCAATTACTAGTATTAAAACTGTACGTTTTTCATTTTTTCTGACAGCAGGCATACTCAATTTTGATTGCCTGTAAATTTTCTGCTCACCAACTTGAATAAATGATTTCAAGATGGCGCCATCTGCAAAATTTTTACTCTCAAGTGAATCAGCGCCCTAATGCTTACTGCTGGATCTGTTGTGGAATATCCTTTTCTAGGGGGTTAAATTTACTGACAATCCCGAACCAAGGCCATCTCTCTGGCAATGTACCCTTTTCATAATACAAATACACGGACAGCATTATTCAACTGAAAGTATCGTTAAAACCATTTTTTTTTTGCTTTTATTGCAAAACCCTGGGTTACTTTGATTTATCTGTCATCCCTAAGTGAGGTTAAAGTGTTAAAGTGATGTAAAATGTGCTTAAAGGGTTCATTTATATTGTTTGATTTTATGAGATTCAATTTTATTGGAGATTCTCTGAAGAAGTAGAAAGGCAACCTTAGAAATGCCTTTCAGAAAACAAACAGTAGAGGAACAGTGAGTTGAGCCTCTAAATGTTTGCTTTGATTCTATGTATTACTTAATTTTTCCTTTCAATTATGTATACCTAATTGAATGAAGGATCCAAAATTATGGTGCCAGGTTATACCTCAACTCATGCTTATCATCAAACATTTTTTTCTTAGAAATTTCTTTCAGATTATCATTGGAAAGATTATACCTAAAATCAGAAACTTTTTAGGGTCGATGCAGGCTTCTCATCAAATTTTTTGTCTTGTTTTTTTGCCTCCTAAAAATTTCCATCGAAGTATCATTGGAAAGATAACAAAACGAGAAACTTCAAGGCAGACCAGAGTTCCTACATATCACCAATTTAAGATGACAACGGCTGTAAGTTTGAATTTTCAAACCTTGTTGAAATTTTACTTTTTGTTGATAATGCGCTCAACTCGTCACCTAGTCAAGATTTTACTCGCTGTCATTCACTTTTATTTCTGCAGAAAGAAATGCAAGTTGAATTAGGGCACAAATAAACAACCACAAAACTGCTTCTCATGAATTTTGCCAGTCGGTAGCATGAAGTTAATGAGACTTTCATAATTTCTCAAGTTTTATGTTTGGGTGTCACCCCCACCTAGAGGTGTGTTTCTTCTGCAGGGGAAAATGTCCTTTGGATAGTACCTACCTCTATTATAAATTAATGTTGTTCAGATGATTCTCTTTCTTTTTTGTTAATTATATTGAATTCTTTGTTCTCATTGAGTTAATAATTAGAGGTATTTATTTTTTAATTCGTCATTTTTTTTCCCCCCAACACTAACCGAATTTTCACTGATAAAAGTTTCAATTCCCTTTAGTCACTCAGGGAAAGCCCGGATACTTTATGAACAATCAATGCATCCATGAACACATGATCTGCAATATTACACCAATCTCGCCTACATTTTAAATTTTTTTAGTAGTAATCAACCTGATTCATAGTTGCATCAGGTAATCTTTGAAGCTCTTCACATTACTCTTGGTATCTTTCAAACAAAAATTTCAGTTAGTTCAAGTTGTTTTGTAAGCTCTTTTTTTTTAACACAGCCTTTAAAAAATTTGAGTAATGCATACTTCATCAAATTTCCAAAGCATCAGCTTTTATGTACAATACCTTTAGTCATACCATAATGGTAATGCATACATTTAATCGCCAGCTCATGTGATCTCTAATTCTCTATTTCTTCCTTGGGGAACTTTATCTTTAAAACCAATAGTAAACCATTTGATAGAGTAATTATCATAATGGAAGGTTAATTCTTGGAGTTCCAGAAAACTCACTTCATTATTCTGCCACAAATCATACCAATTGAAACATTTTGTTAATTCAGGATAGTTCAAACCGAAGACTGATTTCTGATAAAATACTCCCTCATAGCCTCTTATGAGGGAAAATAATGATGAAAAATAAGTTTTACAAGAACAATGCTTGTGGGAACACAAAATTTTATTTACAGTTATCGTTACATTAAAAATATTTACAAAAATGTACAGTATTTAGACCATAAAGTAGAAAAATAAATGAGTATCAAGAAGGTACAGTATGAAGTATTCATCAACTGGATATGGATACTAGGATTAATGTAAATATTAATTGTCCAATCCAGTTACGGAACTGATTTTTGGAACTCTTTGAAGAAGCTAAAGCACTGTACTTGGTTGCTAAGCAGTTATGATACATGGAGAAGTCTATTTGGGTTATGGCACAGTAATGGGCGTTGATTGTGGAATGAGGTATCACAGCATCATTCTGTAAGGCCTTAACAGAATTGGCCACGTAGTACCTGTAACAAAAGAATTGAGTTCAGCGAACATTGTATTAAACAATGTCTAAAAGGTAGTAGCACTGAATATGTCGGTATGTGGAGTGTAGCCAAGTGCTAGAAATAATGTAACATTTTTTTTTTTGGGGGGGGGGGGAACTTACAATTTTTTAATAAAATTTGACCGAAGCTTTTTGAAGCAAGCGCTTCATTGTCAGGGTCACAAAGTATAAATCACAAAGGCCATTACATAATTTCAGACAAGGTAACAGATTTCAGTGGTAACGATTGGTAAAAAATTAACAGATCAAAACACTGGTTTTGATCCCTAGTTTTGAGCACATGGTTTTGATCTGTTAATTTGTCATCAATTGTTACCACTGAAATCTGTTACCTTGTCTGAAATTAAGTTATGGCTTTTGTGATTTATACTTTGTGACCCTGACAATGAAGCGCTTGCTTCAAAAAGCTTCGGTCAAATTTTATTAATAAAATGTAAGTTTTTTAAAAAAAAATGTTACATTATTTCTAGCACTTGGCTACACTCCACATACCAAAAGAATTGATTTGATGTCTGTAATCAAGATTGCATTGAAAATAGAGGTGAAATAAAATGCGCCGCTAATTTTTCAATCTCCATCAATGGCTCTTGTGTCACCTCTGATGAAGTGAGTAGCACAGTGGAATGATATAGTACCTTGTAGTATTTTAGTAGGTAGCACAGGAAAGAGCCAAGAGTGCAAAGAAATCTGATGTTTAAGCAGCTCTCTAATTTTGGATTTGTTGTCATGTTGATGTCTAAAGCACGAAAGTAACCACGCACCTTCATTTGCGACGTTGCAAATTTCCTTTCAGACTATTTTTTCCTCGAAAAGCTAGTCCAAGAAAATTCTTGAAAACTTCTTTGATTTTTTCTCTCTGTTAGGTAATCGAATATTCTGTTTACTATAAAGCTGACGTGTCTCTCTTCAAAATTATGACATAGGAGCAAAAATTTTGAAATACTAAAAGGTAATTTTTCAGCAGTAAAGGTACGTGGTTTCGCACTTAAGCCATCGAAGCAAGAGCTAAAAAGTCTGAATATTGGTTCAGATACGTCATGTTCGTCCTTCCGTTATCGCATTTCGAAGGTGAAGTTCCTGAACCACGTACATAGTTTGCAATGTTTTAAAATCTCAGATTCTTTTTTTTCTTTTCTTTTTTTCTAAGAGGAAAAATAAACATCATTCATGATAGTTTTACATAATTTTCTTCGCACGAAGAGGAAGAATCGCAGCTATTGCAAGCAACTGCCGTTGGACAGTTCTCCGTTTAAAAATCAACATCGCAGATCGAATTACGTGGTTGGGAGTTTCAAAGTCGATTTTTTTTTTTTTTTTATCCACATTCCATTTGTGAAGAGACAAGGCTCAAGGAGCACAAAACTGTTTTAACTGGTGGTATGCATGCGGACCTCGCATAAACGCCTTCATTTTAGGATGATACCACCTACTATTGCGCAGTGGCCTGCTTTCGGATTTATCGAATGATATGCTACTTAACGGAGAAGGATCGATAAACAGGGTGTTCGCAACGGACATCTTAATAATCGATTCTTTACCATATCTTTAAATGGAAAAATATCGATAATCGATCATTCACGCCACGCAACCTGCTGTTGCGGAAGAGCACGAACAGTTGCCTTCACAAGTTGATTAGCGGTGAATGATTCCGCCTGAGACCAAAGTATCTCCGTTTCCGAGTACGTCTAACAATAAGAGCTATAACGTACAATATGGCCTTGAGAAAAAGCGAACTTTGGCTAGAATGTAGTGATTGCATTTTATTGCGATAAAATCCAGGATAGTCGTTCATGTTCTGGTGATCCTAGCGATTTTACCGCCGATGAATAATTGCCGTAGTATGGCTGCAGTTTCATCGCAACCCAAGCGGAAATTGTCGCGATGTAAGCGCAATCGATGGCGATAGATTGCCTTTGATGAAACGAAACCGCGATAACCCACCCTCCTTATACTCGCGATTCGAACTGAAGTAATCACGAATACTGCCGCTCTTCGGGCGCACCGAAATATTCTCTTGCAGTAGATAATGAGCACTAGGAATAACGATTTTTAATCGATTTTTTTTGCGCTGAAAAATCGATAAAATCAAATAAATTTTTTGCGCTGAAAAATCGATGAAATCAAATCGATTTTTTGCGCCGAAAAATGGATTAAATCGAATCGAGTTTTTGAAGTCGATTAAAAATCGGAATCAATTTTCCGAGCCGAAAGCGAATTATTGATAAAAAAATCGAAATTTCCAACGTTGATGCGTCACATTAGGTCTAGGCTCTGTGAAACCCGAGTTTCATTTCAAGTTCAGTTCTAGTAGTAATTGGACTATATTTTGCAATTTGGACCTATAGATTCTAGTCCGGTTTAAAAACAACGTATGTGCCATTAGTTTCCCTATGCACATAAGTGTTTTTCCAGAAGAGCCAGAATTTAAATTTCCGAATTGCAAAATGCAGTCCAATTATGCTTATGGCGCCGGACTTGGATTTTTAAGTGTTTCAAAATCGATTTCGAAAAAATCGGTGTTCTCTGAAATCGATTTTTTCCATCCGATTTTGAAATCGAATCGATTTTTTACCGAAAATCAAATAGACTTCCTGGAATGAATTAATTCGAACAAATCGCCATCCTTAAGAACATAAATACACCCACTCTTTTCGGAAGCACTATGCTTGTCGGAGGAGGGACAGCCATTTTAGGGGTGAGGTTTGGAAAGCAACAAGCCTTGCCTCACCTCGCCGTTGCCGTTGCGGTCTCTCCCTCCATCTTAGACGAGGCTCGAGGCCGAGAGGAGCACGTGGAAGGCCGAAACGGAACCGAACGGATCGGACAAGGTGTAACCTCCGCGTTAAGCTTACAGCAGTGGTTTAAGCGGAGCTGAATTTCATTTGACACTCTAATTGAGACCGAAATCGGCTTGTGGTCATTTTCAAGCGCCAAAGCCGAGGCCCGGCCAATCAATTGGACGTATTTCTGCCAAACGGAACCATGTTCATCAAGACATGAGTCCAGAGACCCATAAGAATATATGCATGACAAGGCTCACGTCATAATGCACATAGTTCCTTTTAGCATAACTACGTCCAATGGAGATGGCTTCCTAGCCCCGGCCTCAATCACCATCAGGCAAAATTTTCTCCTCCTAGCTTCCATCCGCCCAGGTCTCCTTCCATTTGACCATTTCCATTTTTTGTTGCAACAGGACTTAATTATTTTTTAAGAATTTCCATCTTGTTTACCTGAACCGGATGAACCTTTTGATTTGCTTCAGCTGAAGGCTTTTAGATTTTTCCTGCTTCGCGCCAGCTCGGCGTGCCGCGGCGCTTCGAGCTACCATTTCGCCACGGAGGTGTTGCACATGCACAGTATCATACGAGATTGAAGGCACCTCAACGTGTCATGATCGATGGCATCTTTCAAAAGCACGAAGTACCCTTGTAAATTAAATCAAGTGAAGCGACTGCAAAATGAGAGCGGTAATCAAAAAACTAACTAAATTTAGTATCCGTATTCAATATCTGATTTTTGAACTTCATCAGAGGAGAAAGTGACTTGATTCAAGCAGAATCATGCTCAAATTTACCGCCGAGAATATTTCCTTATGAGTCAATAAAGAAAATAATGCTTGTTTAAAGAGGAAAAGATGTTCATTAAAAAAGAAAAATCACTTACATCAAGCAGAGACCCGCTTTCATTCAGCGATTTTATTCTTAATTCAAAATAAAATTTTCTTGACGGCGTATTCAAGAATGTTTCTGCCTAAATTGAGTCACTTTTTTCTCTAATGAAATTCAAAAATTATGCTGAAAATTAATAAATACAGCTGCTAGGGCTTTGTGAGTTTTTGGACTATCGCTCTCTTTTTGTGCCGTAGTATCTTGATTTATTTTGCGAGGAAAGCTCTGTACTCCTAACGGATACCTGCAATTCTAAATATGTTGGAGCGCCTTCAATTTCGTATGATACTGTGCAACACTTCTGCTGCGAAATAGTTGCTTGAAGCGCCGCGGCGCGGCGGGCGAGGTCGTCCAGCGCGACACGCGCATTGACGCCTACAAACCTAACAGGGATACTTCACGCATTGCGCAATGCGTGAAGTATCCCTGTTAGGTTTGTAGGCGCCAGTGCGCGTGTCGCGCTAGCGGCACGCGGCTCCACTCCGTATGAGGCTCTATACATATTTAAACTCGCGGAGTCAGCGTTTTTCAACTCATGATTTTGAATTGTTTGCACACTCTGCATGGATTATTTTCATTTAAATTTATGAAAAAAAAATATGTATCAAAGTAAAATATTACGTGTGTTTTAAAGGCAATTTTGAAACGTCGAAGCTCTCTCATCAAATCGTTCACGCTGTGAGCCTCACAAGAGGGTGCTGGCTTATTTCGGTTGGAGAATTGACTGCCCTCAGAGGCCAATCGGTTTTTTTATGAAACTAATGAGTTATCTAGAAAGTGAGCCAAATTGAAACATTTTAAGATGAGGCACAAAGCGATGGAAATTCCAGACGTAATTATTTTGGTTTAAATTTTGAAAAAATAACAAGCGAATCAGCCAATTTCTGTAAACCGCGCCCAAATGGGGGAAAAACTTAACCATGTCTTAAGAGGGAATCTAGGAGCCTATTGTGAACTAGAAAATTACACTTTTGACCTTTGAATGGGAGTAAGCGGGTCATAATGTACCTATCAAGCAAAACCGGTTACTGAATGACACCTTTTATCTTTCCCGGGGGTGGAAAGCATACTTTATTCGTTCAGAATAGAATCATCCATAGATGACCTCTCAGATTGTCCATGTTTCCCATTTGTATGCATTTTATAGCCAAAAAACTCATTTTTGCTGAATGAAATTTACCTGCAATTTCGATCACTCGCGCCTTACTTACCCCTGACTTTGAATTGGCTAAAATCATAGATTACTTACCTATTTTCATATACGTAGCATCGATTGTACCCGGGATCAGTCGTTTCTCCAACGTACCCGAAGTAAGCCGCATATCCTAGCCTCTTAACTCTACACGCGAAATGTAAAGTTGATGAACGCAACTATTCATGGTCTCACGTAACTGCAGGAAGTATCAGCCTGAATTGAAGGCGATTTTGTGAGGCCCTACTCTCCTGTTAGATCTCTTGCATTGCAAGGCTCGCACCACTACGCGAAAGGAACGCCAAGTCTTTTAGGATGCAACAATTCATTGTCTCACACAAGAGCGGGTGGTATCAGCATGTGGTGGAGGTGTCCGAGCAAGGTACCTATTACCCTCATGTAAATCTATTGAAAATCCTGCTCTTTACTGCCGTGATAGCGAAGAGAGCAGTAATTGCAAAAACGAAGCTTTGAGAAAACGGGCTCAGAAACGTCAGACCGGAAAATTTTATTGAAAGAAGCCTCCGTTCTTTCCTAAATTGCCGCTTTTCATCCGAAAGGCTCCTAGAAATTGTTTGGATGATTAAAAATCGACCGATTTTATTTCAATCACATAAAAAGGGTATTCACTCATTTTCATGTTAGGCGAGTGCTAGGCAAGACAGCCGTAAGTTCTATCATCTGCATGCTTTCGTGGTTGCATTTTGGGCGCACAACAAACACACTTCCAGGTCAGAAATTGACAGAGACACTTGGAGGCACTGTTTTCATTGGCTCTCTGGAGGAATAATGTCACTTATGGCTATTTTGCCTCAAACTACGCATTTTTTGCGCACTTAATGCTTGCTCACATATCGACGGTGAAAGTCGGCAATCCCATAACTCGTTTGCAGTGTCTGAAAATCTCCGCCTCTACGTCATTTTTTTTAAAGGAGAGAAAATTGACATTATTTCTTGAAGTTTTTGCAGAATTTTCTTCGCATTGAGAAGAAAAATCATGACAGTTTTAAAGAATTGCCGTTGAGTAGTTTTCCATTTAAAAAATAAAGTACGACAGGAAGTCTGCGACGTCGCAAACCGAGTTATGTGATTGCCGACTAGCACCGTCGATATGTCTCGTTTTCATATATTCAAGATTAATTTTTCTATTTTAGCAATTCCAGTGAAATTGTCCAGAAGATTAGACGAATCTTGACCGAAACTCGAGTTCGAAAATTTGACAATTACTGCTCTCCTCGCTCTCGTGGCAGTTTACTTTCCTTGCGCAGACTAATTTAAGATGCGGTTACATCTTACTTGTAAAACAGATCGTAGTCCGCGGGGACGATGAAGCTTTCGGCCAGCTGATCCATCTGTTCAGCCGAAACAGGCTCGAAAGTTGATTGCTTGAACTCGTAGTACGACGTGAGATTGTACTCTGACGTCCATTCAGCTTTCTCGTCTTTGTTGGCTACTGACAGATCTAGGTAATACTGATTGTAATCTAAAACCTGGAAAAGATTAAGTCAAACAATCGTGAAAATAGACTATAAATCAAAACATAAATTATCAAAAATACATTGCAATAAGTTGATAAATCGACGGTGAAAGTCGGCAATCACATAACTCGGTTTGCGACGTCGCAGACTTCCTGTCATATTTTATTTTTTAAATGGAAAACTACTTAACGGCAATTCTTTAAAACTGTCATGTTTTTTCTTCTCGATGCGAAGAAAATTCTGCAAAAACTTCAAGAAATAATATCAATTTGTTCTCCTTTAAAAAAATGACGTAGAGGCGGAGATTTTTAGACACCGCAAACGAGTTATGTGATTGCCGACTTTCACCGTCGAAATGCCAATATTGTATGTATTTTACATCTCGTTCCGAAGTTCATTTTCGGACGCATCTGTTGTGTGAGCATAGCCAGAATTTGGAATTTTTTGTGGAGAGGCATTGGGAACACCTAATCAAAGGAAGTCTGGAAGGACTCCTTCATCTCGAAAGAGGCCTCGCGGCGGTCGGTGAGCACATTTTGAAAATGGGTCTCTCGCAAACATCAGCCAGAGAAAAAAGAAGCGTTAACTCTGAAAGAAAATGGCTCAAAAATCACGATGAGCGCCTCGGGAGAGTCTGATGTTCACTGCTAACTTCACAATCTGCGCAACAAATATGCGATTTTTTTAAGCTTCCCGTTTCAAAAATGATACCATGCCAGGGGTGAACATTTTGTAAGAGGTGTCCTTCCATCGAACCCTTGCGCATTAGGATGCTACGCAATATTCAACATGACCGACCGACGCTTCCACACGCAAAGTTATCATCGTCTTTAATTTGGAGACAGTGTAAACTAATGTTTTCGTGCATAATACTGCTGAACATAGATACTACGAATTTGACTTCAAATGAGGGAAATTATGTCAAAATAATCTTGTTCGTTCTCAAAAAGACTCAAGCGCCGATTCGTTTTTTTCTTCTTTTTTCCGTTCAGATCGTAGGAAAATACCTGGAACAACCACAATCCGATTTTGAATTTCGATCTTCTCCGACGATCTTTTTTTGACCACAGGGATTGAGGCCGGTGGTAAAAGAAGAACGAAAATATATTTTGTCGTTTCCTAGTTTACCAAGGATGACTCATTGTCAGTTTTGCTAAAGCTGGTATAATCATTCTAAATTTCCCTATGAATTGTATACGCATGCGGTTGGAAATTACGACAAAGTTGAATTATAACGTACCTGTCCAGTGTCCTTGTTGAATTTATAGAGGCGCAGCCCTGGATTGTTGACACCATTTGGGCTTCGCTTAGGGGTTACGGACGGTGCTATGAATATTGTTGATACCGGTCGGTTATCTGAAAATGAAAAAGAAAACATTGGGGAGATTCGAAGGGTGAAATCATGGAAGAAATAATTGAATCATCGTTCTGTCAGGTATTCAATCATCATCTGATCTGTCAGGTAATTTTAAGTGTACTTCGGCGCCACATTATTTTTAGTCCTATTTTCCTTTTTTTGTTTTTACCGAAAAAAAAACCACGGTCCCTGTTTCTAAATCGTAGCTACTAGGATAGTTATTTTTGTTTTTAATGGGGAAAATTAGAAGGGAGTCATAAATAATAACGCGTCGTCTGAATGTCGCAGCAATTTTAGCGTTCGTCCCGCCGGCGAGGGTCGGCTGGGCGGTGAAGACATCTTCGCAGTTTGACGCGCCTTCAATCCGGCGGAGCTGCAACATGCTTACACCCGTGGTCAAATAGTTGTATGTCACGCCTGCCGTAAACGAACTCAAATATCGATGGTTCCACACGAAAAGGAACTTATTTACCTCGATTGCAACGTTGCAAACAACAGTTGATGCTTCAATTTCAATCAATATTTTTTAAATGATACGCACAGATTTGCTGAAAAATTTACAAGAATTTTTCGAACGATTTTAATTGAAATCACGGGAAATTTTGTCGCCACATTATATTTAGTCCTATTTCCCCTTTTTTCGTTTTTACCGGAAAAAACCCAGGTCCGTGATTCTGAATCGTAGCGATTAAAATAGTAATTTTAGTTTTTTATAGTTAAAATTAGAAGGGTGTCATAAATAATGACGCATCGTTTATGTGTCGCAGCAATTTTAGCGTTCGTCCCGCCAGCGAGGGTCGGCAGGGCGGTGAAGACACCTTCGCAGCTTGACGCGCCTTCCATCCGGCGGAGCTGCAAAACATGCTTACTCCCGTGGTCAAATAGTTGTATGTCATGCCTGCCGTAAACGAACTCAAATATCGACAATCCACGCGAAAAAGGAGCTTATTTACCTCGATTGCAACGTTGCAAACAACAGTTAATGATTTAATTTCAATCAATATTTGTTAAATGATACGCACAGAATTGCTAACAAATGTTCAAGCATTTTCCGAACGATTTTAATTGAAATCACGGGAAATTTCGTCGCCACATTATATTTAGTCCTATTTCCCTTTTTTTGTTCTTACCGGAAAAAATCACGGTCGGACGGTTTTTTTTCAGCTAGTAATAAATATTGGCCTTGATTCTTTTCCTTTTTAAAAGAACACCATACATATTTAATACTCAATAAAAGAAATGAATCATGTTCTTGACGTTGCAGACTATATCTACTGATTTTTATCGATGTTCTGCATTTTCCCCCAAAAAGGGGGGAGAGTGCGCTAAGCCTATCCTATATCCGTTTTTTTAGCTGCCAGACCTCACATCCGTGCTTTAAAATAATTTTAACTCCAGCTTTGTAAATTCTCTTGTTCTCTTTGGAAAGCCGTTGATCCTAGAGGATTCCACTTGGACCGCGCTTAGTAGTGAGGAACCAAGCCACATCAGCTATTACCTTTAGAACGTTTGTGAGTACCTATTCCTTCGAAAATTCTAAGGACTTTGCTTTTTACTGTGCGAAAAATTCACTAAAATTTGCACAAAAACCGCACAACCGTTCTCATCAGTCATCCCAAGCGTACGGATATTTCCGTGCCGCGCGGACCTTCCCTATACCCGCGCGGACAGCGTATACGGACCAAAACCTTATGGGAAAATTTTTCCCTATCTTAAAAGGTCCGTACGCTGGCCCGGCCCTGTCCGTGCGTCTATAAATCCGCTTTTCTTTGCAATATTTATTACTTTTGCGTAAGTTATTGATACAATTATGTTTAGTATGAAAGCCGGGTATCGTTCGGGAACAAATCAGATACTTTTTGCATTAATTATATTGTATTCTTATCAAAATTCAGTCATTTCCTTTAAGGTCCGTGCGCTCACCCGACCCAGTCCGTGCGTCTGTTAATCCGCTTATTTCTTTGCAATATTTATTACTTTTGCGTAAGTTATTGATACAATCATGTTTGGTATGAAAGCCGGGTAACGTTCGGGAACAAATTAGATACTTTTTGCATTAATTATATTGTATTCTTATCAAAATTCAGTAATTTCATTTAAGGTCTGTCCCTGTTTTCTGTATTGTTGCAGTGCTTTTGTGTTTGTTCACTCTGACATTTTTTCTGATTTTTATTTCTCAATTTCGCCAATGTTATTGATATGAAGAAGCCACGAATAAAACTCAGGTATCATACAGGACCTGATTTAGTACTTTTTGCATTAATTTATGTGTTATTCAATCAGTTCAATGGGTTAGGAATTATGAATTTCATGAAAAGTCAGCTCCTATCTTTTGAATTATTGCTTTTTGATTTAGGTACCTATAATTGTTCCGATTATTTTTTCCTGCCAATGCTTTCTAGAGAACATGGGTACTTGAATGTCGCTATTCAAGCATGATTTGGACACAGGTAGCTACAACAGTTTGTTCGCAGCATTCAAAAATCACCGCTAGGTATTTTTTAAAAGAGAACAAATCAACATCATTCCTTGAAATTTTCTCAGAATTTGCTTTGCCCAGAGAGGAAAAATCATGGATGTTCCTATAGGAATTGATGTTTAGTAGGTATGGCTAAAAGTTCACAATACTTTGAACTAGAATTCTCATTTATCAGGATTCACCACTATAGTTCATAATATTTAAAAATCGCGGGAGGCGATTCACGGAGCACGGAGCGTCACGGACATACACGAGCCCATCCGGAGAGCGTACGGACTTTTCAAGATAGGAGCACCTGGGAACACTGGTTCTCATGTAAAAAATCTGATGGTACAGTTAAATTTTGGCAAAAGCTGATGTGGCTTGGTTCCTTTCTGCTTAACACGGTCCATTTATCATCGCTATAGCCTTCCTTGCTAGGGTTTTCCTTTCCTCAGTAGCTTGATCCGTCCCTCCATCCTGGGTCAACCGCATTCCCAAGTATTTAGAATTCCAGTTCAAGTCGCAGTTAATGGAAACAGCACAGTACGACGATACGTAAATACCTCACACTGATAAAATCCACTCACCATTGTCGTCATATACGATACGAAATGAGTCCGTATGAAAATGACCGAAAAATTGCCCAGTTATAATATTGGCGAATCTGCGGACAAGAGCCAAGTATCTGCTATTGTGTGAAGGCATGAGGAGGATTCGCTGTTGGTGGGGCGATCGAGACTGCCGTTCATCCATGCCGGGGGGCACGTGACCCACCAGGTAAACCTGCAATACCAACAAAAATTCCATTATACACAAGCTCCTCTCAAAGAAACAGCAGAAAATGCTTATAATCAGAGGCGGATCCAGCGATCTAGCAACACCGGATTCCCTTCATTTTAACCTATGTTAAATAATAATCGATTCTTGTCGGAGCACATGGTTCCACCTCTAGAATGGCCGCGAGATAGCAAACCTGCGTAACGCGCAAGGGCCGGTTTTTGAAGGCAGGAGGGGGGTGGGAGCCCAAGTATAGCTAACCTCAATCTCCATTTCTGCTGCGTCTTGCCCATAAGGATTACATGTGAAAATTTCAACCTATGTAAACTTTCATTTTTTTTGAGGTTTGCTTTCAAAGTTCCTATTTTTTGAGTTAAGAAAACCTTTGGAGGTGCGATTATTATGCAATCTTTTCATTGCTATCACTTTATTCAACAATATTCGGCAAAATGTGGGCAGCGTCTGACATGGGTTTAGATGGCAGCCTGCTGTGTGAGCCCAAGTAAACCTAACCTATCAACTTCAAAACGTTCCGGGTCTCTAACACTGGTCGGCCATTCTAATGGCTCCTCTCTGACTTGATATATTTCCATAGGTTTACATGGCGAAAAAGCAATGTTGCCGATTTGCTGGATTCGCCAATGCTTATAATATCGTGCCATGCCCGTGCCCCGTGCGGCCGGGAAAACGATGTATCAACATTCGGACATTGCCAAATTTTCACGTATTTGAATCAAAAGGAGCTATGTCCATTCTGACAAGAGCCCTGAGACCCACAAGCAATGACGATTTTTCAAGTTAGCAGCACTGTTA